TGTAGCATAAGCCTTTGACAGGGTTTGTTACCCGGGTCTCTTACAACACAAGCTAAAAATAATTCTACCCCCCACCATACTACTAATTTTTAAGTTATATTTTAAAAATAGATTCTTTGCTACAAAAGTTGGATCTGAAATTTCAAATTTGGTTCCGATCTTAGCTGATGTGCCTTAAGGTGCCATCTTTTTACTCATCCTGTTTAACATATACACAGCCGATCAACCTACTACTCCTCATACTTCTATAACCGACTTTGCCGACGACAAAGTCATAAACATTTCAGAAAAAAATTCACTACTCGTCAGCCAACACTTACAAAATCACTTAAATCTACTAACAGGTTGGTTTTTTAAATGGAGAATACAATTAATAAACATTGAAAAATCATCCCACATCACCTTAACACTCAAAAAAAAAAAAAACACACAGTACCTCCAGTCTACCTAAACAATAAGTCATCCCTTCTCCCTCAAATGCCAAATAGGTACTTGGGTCTGATATTAGACAAAAGGCTTACTTGGGCTGAACACAGTAAGCAGAAACGTCTCATACTAAATGCTAGACGAAGAGTACTCTTACCACTTACAGGAAGACAAGCAAAGATTAAATTAAATTCAAAAATGCTACTTTACAAAACCCTCCATAAGCCAATTTGGTCTTACAAAATCCAACTGTGAGGAGCAGCAAGAAAGTCTAACATTTATAAAACCCAAACATTCCAATTGACTTCATTACGAATGATTACTAGTGATCTTCCGTGTGTTTTAAATAATACCATACATTCAGACTTTAAAATTCGTACCGTTCAAGAGGAAGCCAAAAATTCCTACAAACTATTCCGAAACCGTTTTACTAACCACCCTAGCCCACTAATTCTTGCTTTTAACTCCGAATCCACCTAGAAGGTTAAAATGAAATTAGAACCGTGACTTGAAAATATAGCCCTATTTCTCTCTAACCAGTAAGTGTTGCCACTGGGTGATTACTGCATCGTATTAACCATGTAAACGTAAATTTAAATCTTTAAGCATCCTTATTACAAAATTTGTATGTAATGAAAAAAAAAAAATTTAAAAAAAATAGTATTCACATTCATTGTTTCATTTTGTAAATTTTATTATCGACTATCGTTTCATTGAGTTGTTGCTTTGTGTTTCACAGTCTCGTGTGTTCGTTGTGTTCTCTGTTTCTTATCTTAAATGTAATATATTTTATTCTATGTAATTGTAATTAATAAATAATAAATTGTGATTGTAACTGTTAGTTAAAACTGTTTTCGCACGCAATAATATATTGGTACATATATAAAAAATAAAAATTAATATAGATAAATAAAAATAATATAAACATAAGTATATCAACTAAAATGTACAAACAAAGAATAAATAAAAAAACAGAGAAACATACCTACTAATTGAATAAAAATAAGAAAATTAGTGTTAAAATGTATTATAAGTTCATTATTTAAAATATTATAATGGACATTTCTAATCAAAATAATTTCTCTCCAATTAAATAAACTATTAAAACAAAGTAAATGTACTTTAATAAAATTTATTTAGCATTTATTTATGATATCGTATCTTTATAGTGCTTAAAGATCTATTTCTTTTTTTTTTTTTTATGTGGAATTCAAAGAAGTTATAAAGTACTAAAAATAACATATTTGAACTTTGAAGCTTAAATTAAATATAAATTATTATGGCCATGTGGTCGTTCTATAGTTGATTGTTGGCTTAAAATTATATAAACTAAAAAATATCATAGCTTAGTAGCTTCAATTCAAAATTTGAGTTCTATAAATTCTATGTATGGATTTAATAAAAAAAATATATTTTTTATATGTTATAAAATAAAAATTGCATAATGAATCATTTTTTAAACATAGCCTATATTCATAATAGAAAATACTAGTTAATATATTTATATGTTTTTATATTTATCACTAGTGAAATTTTTAATACAATCAAGACAAATCTATAATTATAAAGATACTTTTGGATAAGAAGTAAGTATTTATCTACTAATTATTATATTTACTATTAATCATAATACTCATACATACATGGCACTAAATCAACAGTAATAAAATTTAAACATAATATAAATTTAGCATTTGGTCTATTTTTTATAGTTGCATAATGTCAGATGAATAACAGTGTTTACAAGTTTATCATCTAAATAATATAATTTATGGCATGAATACAATTTATGAGAAAAGTCAAAACCAATATTTAATTTAATTTATATTTTTACTAAATTAATTTAAATTAGATTCAACATATATAAATATTAAATATTGATATGACTTAACATCCAGCTTATAATTCTCCAGTTCCTCATTAATATTCAAAGACTTAACTATTATGAACTGTTTTATTTTAATTAATAATACAATTTAAATTAGCTTAAACATACACAAACAATTTTTAAGCTTTGTACAACAATTATTATCTCACAGGTATACTCAACAGCTCATCTTTTTTTTTACACAGTTATATATACTCATAATTGGGAATTGATATTCCATCCATTATGACATAAGTATGATTAAGAGATTAACATTCCAATAAAAAAATAATGATAAGAACTATAACAACATTTAACATTATCCCTTAATTATTTATGTATTTTTATTATATATTATTAATAATAATAATAATAAAATTATTAGTAAAATATTTATTCATAAGCTCTAAATTTTCCTTTTTAATAAATCACTTGACAATGACAGTATAGTCCAAAAATCATTTATCCAACTACAATTTTTTAATTGCAAAATCAACAGTAAAAAAGATAAAAAAGCAAGAACAAAAATAATATTAAATCAATTGTTATCACAAAGTCAGAAAATGTTGTAACTATCATTTTGTAAAATAGATACAAATAAATATATACATAATAATACTCTCAACTAATCAGTTCTGTATAACAACAATGAGATATTTTTCATTTTTATATTTTTTGTACTAACATCATGCATCAAGTTGCATATAAATACATCAAATAATATAGTATAACTATATTTCAAACAATTTAGTAAAAAAAAAAAAAAAATATTTACAGTAAATAAAAAACATTCAGTTTTCTTGTTGCTTTACGTTTCTTTTTTTTTTTTTTTAAATTTAAAGTTAAATTTTTTCTTGCATTACTTTATAAATCATCCTTCTAACAGATTCTTGATTTTTATTTAAATGATTTTTCATTTCTTTTGAACTGAAAATAACATTGAAAATAAATAAAACAATGTAATGTATTACAAATTATGAAAATTGTTTTTTTGTGATGGTCACAAATAGGATAAACTTATATTTATAATCCACAACTCATTTAAATAATTGGAGTCATCAAATTTCAGATCACAAATAATATTGTACATTTAAAAGAATAATTTTGTTCAATATTAAAATAATTAAAATTCATATAAATATTTATAACTTACCATTTTTTGTTTATATTAATTTTTTCATGTTTAGTATTCAAAAATAATGTTACACTCAGTTTTTGAGAATCATCCTGACAAAAAATGAAATTTAATAATAATTACATTTAACTATGATTATTTAGAAAATTACTTTAGACTTTGGGGGATGAAACTGTGCTTCTAGCTCATGGTCCTCAGTCATTTCAGCAAAAGATTCACTTATTTCTCGTGGATAATTTAATTCATCAAATTCGTACAAACCACAATGTATTGCTTGAGTAGGGAATACCCCAAATTGTGATGCCAAAAGTCTTACATTTGTTTTTGGTACTATTTCAATTGATCCATAATCAACATATAATAACTATAAAAAAAAAAAAAAAAAAAAAAATGAAAATTAGGTCAATATTTTTGTAATATAAATAAAGATTTATGTTTAGGTAGTTGTAAACATGTGACGTGTATATAAATATATGATTATTATAAAATCTATGAATTAAAATATGTTATTTATAATACACTAAGTTATAATAATAAATAATTTTTATTTAATTTAAAAAAATAAAATACATACAAAATCACAAATCTGTTTTAACTTTAATTATAAAATCTATTAAAAAAAATTTATGACTATAAATAGATAAACAACTATATTTGAAAAATTTATAATGTTTACACACAAAATATCGATAAAAATATGTATAGACCATATTGACATGATTAATGCATTAGCTCTATTGATATCAACCGTCTAGCTTTTCTCAATACCTATTTACTTTTTACTATAAATATTACCAACACTGCAAGTTTTACAATAACTTCTAAACAAACATCTTAAAAAAATTCTACAGAACAAATAAAACTAAGCTTAAATAAGTGTTCAAAAATTATTATTAATACTCTGAAAAAGTTAAAGACCAATTTGCTTTCCAAAAAAATATAATTTTAAATAGTTGAATTTAGTTACTAATTATATATTACTAGTTATGTATTATTCAAAATATTATATTTACGCATATTATATTATTATTATATTTTATTTTTCAAGTTTTTTACAGAGTTAACAGTATTTAAAATAATTTACTAACTACACAAAGTGACAGAATATTATGCTCTATCCTCCTAAAAAAAAAAATACTAGAAATTTAGTTTAATTTTTAATTTCAAATAAAAACAAATAATTTGATAAAAAGGCACAGTAAACTATTGAAACTATTACTAAAAAATGTTTAAGATAAATTAATCACCAAAGACGTGTTTTTCAAGTTAAGTTTAGAAACAAAATAATAATGTTTTGAAAAAAAATTAAGTAAGCATATTAATATAAATATAATTTAGTTTTTAACTTTTCAGTATACATTTAGATTTAATTTTACTATATATCAGACTATTTGATACTTTCTATTTTTACAAACAAATATGGTAACTTCAACACACATTGCTTAATAACTTGTGTTTAAGTTAATTAAATAAACATTTTATATAAATATTAACTTACAAACTAAAACAAATTTTTATTAATTTTTAGATTGTTATAAGCTATATAAATTCAAAAATCTTAGTTACTTGCACATTTTCTTCATCGATTATTTTTAAAACTGTAGCTCTGTGCCATAGATTAGAATCTTCAAAACATGAGATACATGCCAATTCTGGAATAATTAGTTTTGGTATAACTTTGTACTTTTCTTCATTATCTTTGTAATACAGTCTATAATGATATAGAAGTTACAAAATTACCAAAACAAAAATATAACTATAAATCAATGAAATTATAAACCAACTGCAATCTATCCATGAAACTATTCAGATTATTAACTTCTGCTGCTAATTGAATGTAAAATGAACCTGGGTTGTAAATTTCAGCAACTATGACTTTTATATACTTTTGATCATTCAACTCAACTTTAGAATACTTAAACTTTCCATTGCAAATATCTTTGCCAGAGTAGTGTAAAAGAAAATCATGATCCTGTGTATGACACAAAACAATCCAGTAAAATGACAAATTATTTTTTTTTTAATTACAATATAGATAAAATATATTTAAAATCAATTTACCTAATATATTTCAATTAAAAAAAAATTTCAAGGCAGTTAAAGTATCGTACAAAATAAAAATTGAATTTTTATTTTCAACAGTTTTCAAAATTGTTCAACAAAACATTAAAATTATTGAAAAATCATATGATTTATATTTTTAGTAAAATATAACACAATACAATATGTCTTTTATTAAAAAATACAAACTATTTTTAAACATACCGGTAATAAAATAGTATTTTTATCACAGTTATCTATTTGATCTTTACTTTTAAAACATTTTGTATATGCAAAAGGATCTACTGTAAACAGCTCATCATTTTTGAATACAACCATTTTGTCTAAAGATTCAAACATGTGTTTTTCAGAAGAATATCCATACTTTTGTGGTTCATAAGCTCGGCCATATTCTGCCTGCAAAAAAATATAACTAAAATCTTGATTGTTAAGAAAAATTATTAAATTTAATATATTACACAGTACAAAGACATCAATTTATTGAATTTGACACCAGTCCGATATTTATCAAAGAAGTTTGAAAGATTATACAATATAGTCTTCGGAATATTTTTATAATACAGCGATGGATCTGAAAATATATTTTGTTTTTAATTAAAAATTAAAAAATTATAAACATACTTATTTTTATTATATATCTTATATCAGAGTCAGTTTGAATATACTTTTTAGATAGGAAATGATACGTAGATTATTCCAATGAAATAATTTTTATGCATAAACATTAAGAACAAATTTGAAAACTTTACTGATTAGTTAGACCAAACTCAGAGATAGTCATCAAAAACAAATACCTACTGTATTTACCTATTACAAAATAATTTTAAGTTATTGTAGGGTTTGCCAATAAGTCTTATATTGATGTAATACAACACTGTCAAAACATTGCTCTTTGAATCATTGAAGCCTATTGGTTTAAAAAAACCAATTCAATTCACTATAATGCTGTCTACAATAGCAGACACAAATATAAAACGTCTTAGATCACCATGTCAATCCATTAACCAACTAATTATTAGACAACTTTAAGGATAACAGATATCTCTAAGTAAACTCTAAAAATATAATTTATAGAATCATAATTTGCAAACCTTAAATATAACCTCGAATGATTTGATATTTAAGTAAAATAATTTACTATAAAATTTAATTTCAACAATAAAAATAGAATCAAAAATAAATTAATTAAAAGAAAAAAAAAAGAAAAAAAATGATCAAAAAAGAATATAAAGCTAAAAGTTCATATTGACCAGAAGGTATTTTTGTTGATGCAATTTATAATGTAACTTTAGATAAAACTATAAAAATGATTAATAAAATATACTATCTATCTGAAAATATTTTAAAGAGATGATACATTTTTTCATCTGATAAATTTAATGAAGATAACTTCTTTGATACTGGTACAAAAATGTAGAATTAATAAAGAATGTCTAAATGCCAAATATATTTTCAAAAATAGTTTTGAAAAATTAAATTCATAAAACGTAACACATTTTGTTGATTAAAATATTTCTGAAACTGAAAATGATTCTGAAATTAAGATAGAAGTAGAAAATTTAAATTGCAATTTGTAAGTTAAAATGACTTACTAAATGATGCACTTAGATTTTAATCAGAATTTTTCTAATCTTTATAAGATTTATAAAGCTATTTGCACATTACTTAATCAACTACTTTTACAGTCAAAACTGGCTTCTGGTAATTAAAATTAATAAAATCAAAGCATAAATCAATAACAGAAGAATTGAGACTTGATGATTTATTAATCTACTGATTATAATTTTATTGATATATATGCTTTGAAATTAAAATAATTTCAAAATGAGTACTAATCACATGTATTTTATAATTTTAATATTTGCCTACTTTTAAATTAAAATTTAATTTCTGTTATACTAAATTATATTATTATAATATGTTTTAGTAAGGTAATAAATAATAATGAGAAAACAATTTTTTTGTTTTTGTTTTTTAATAATTTATCAGGTTTTAGTTTGAAATTTTTATTTTTATTTGACCATAAGTTTTTTAGTTTAAAATAGATATTAATATTTATTACATAAATACATTGGAATAAAATACATCCTAATACTAATTTATTATTCGTTACCAGTATTTTTTTTTTTTAATTTTATATTTTTTATATGTTTGAGTTAATATATTTTAATTATATGACATTAACAAATTCACCATACTAACCGTCTATGATATTTTCAAATTCACTTCGTCTATCAGCTTCAAATAGAATACATTCATGATCATCATCAGTTACTTTAACATAAAATACAGATGGTAACTTGTATGCCATATCTCTCATACTTTTAAATCCATATTCAGAAAAATTAAAATGACTGTTGTATTCTTTCTATAAAATAATTAACCAATAGATAGATAGTTGAATCAATCAATCAATCATTTAATCTAATTAAATTATTTTTAAAGCAAAAAATAAATTATTATTATTAAATAAAAATTTAGATACCTATTTAAAAATATAAGTTTAAGCTATCAAAGAAGTTTATATGACATATTTAAATAGAACTATTTATTAATAAGTAAAATATTATCAATTAAATTATAAAATAAATAAGTTTGAGCTATTATAATAACAAATTTATTATACAAGTTGAATTGTTTAGCTAGAAGTATTTTTTAGCAAGCATCATTAAAATGAAAATATTTTGAACATTTATTATTTAATTTAAAAAAAAAACAGGTAAAGCTCTACTATCATACTTAGATGCTACCAAAATACAAAAGTGGATTGATATAATCTAGTATTTAGACATGAATAAAAGTGTAAAAATTACTAAATAAACTAAAAGGTAAATTCTTCTAGTCAAGATATAACTGCAAGCTATTAGCTATAGCTATTTTTTCAGTTTTAATGGAAAACTTCAAGAAAATAATCAATAAAATGCATACAGTATTATGCATATCAAAAAAAACTTTCAATAAATAAATAAAACTTGCCAAGTTAATACTATCCTGACTGATTGGCTTAGTGTAGATAATCTTTCTAATGCAATCAAAGAATAGAAAATGGTAAAGCCCTAAAGATAAATAAAATACAGTTGAAATACTTACATAAATCAGACCCAAAAGCTCATCTTTGGTAAGTAAATATCTTACGTGCAATTTTTGAAAGTAGAAAAATCTTTAGATATTGAAAATGATATATTATAATAAAACTTTTAAAACCAAGAAAAGCTACTTATAATCCAACTAGTTATCAACTAACTTTAGCAAGTATGCTATCAAAGTCAATGAAGAGACTAATTCTAAAAAAAAAATAGCCCCTATCACAATTTTGTGCTACCTTCATTGACCTTTTTCTAGTTTAACATATGTAATGGTATGGAAAAGCAATTTGGTATGAAAATTAATAATTATCAAACATTATCTTAAGCCCACATTTAATATGATACATTAGAACTAGCTTTAAAAATAAGTATTTTTGAGTATTTCTTGGAAACCAGAAAAGCAGTACTTAGAGAAATGAACAACTCAAGGTTCTATCCTAACTCAAATTATGTTTAGTACACATACTTACTTATTATAAATATACCATTATTTAGAGTATAAAAATAAGGTTTTTTAGAGATTCAAAAGAAAGAATTGACACGAATATAAAAGGGAAAAGATACAGCAGTAACCTCTATACCAGCATTTCCTAAACTTTTACAACCACAGCACCCTTAAGAAATAGTTTGTGTTATGCAGAACCTCTATGTTTTTAATTTCAACTCAACTCCAATTTTTCTAAAAAAGAAAAAGAAAAACCAATACTCTAGAAAATCAAAAAAAAATGTTTTAATAATATTTTTTCCAAATATAATAAAAAGTAATTTTCTCAGTAATCATAAACATCTGATGAAACCCTTGAATTGTTCTACAAAACCCTAAAGTTTTGCGGAATACACTTTGAGAAACATTGCTCTACATGTCTAAGCCATGTTAGTGCGATTTAAATGAAAATCCTAGTAAGAGAATCCTGGTTGGAAAAATCCAAAGCAAGAAAAAAGAAGTCAGACAGTTTAAGAAAGAAGATACCAACTTTAAAATATGAAATGTGAACCTGAGGCATAAATCAAAAAAGTTAGAGGACCCATGCATGTATTTTTTTATATTTTGTAAATAATGTAATGCTGTTTCAAACAATTAACGATGGTGCTTAGTGGTGATAAAAATAGACAAGGAAGGTTAGGTTAATAAACTCATGTAAAAAGTTGAAAATTTAAAGAGAGCATGTGGTACTGGGCGATAGTGTACAGTTAATCCAACACCTAATATTAGACTGCTAATTATAAGGCAATATAATAACGATCTAGAAAACTTCATCAGGGTAACTCCAGAGACAATGACCTTGCTAGACTCTTTAGATATTGATATTTAGTGTTACACATTATTTTAATATTAAAATGTTTATTAATGTTAATTAAATTAATTTAATTTATCTTTTAACTAATACTAAGGTATTTTTATCCGATGCTATTGTTATTTGTATGACAAACAAATTAATAAAAAATAGACAATTTAATTGGTTTAATCAAATACTTACACCATAAATATCCATAAAATCATTACATAATATACCATCTTTGTGTTTACTCAAAATACTACGCATTTTTACTTTCATCGTATCCAATATTGTATCAGCGTCATACATTTCAAACAAATCTATTGACTTTATACTACTGAAATGCAAAAAAAAAACACCAAAATAATCAAAATTGTAATTTGAGGAAATAGAGTTAGACTTAGCTCTAATAAAGACATTTTATTGCAACATTATAACCATAAAAATGTATATAAAGTACAAGATGATTTATTTAACATAAAGCATTCATTATTTCAGAAAAAACTGACCGTTTTTGAAAATATATTAAATTTTAAATAATTTTAAGCCATTACTACAAAACAGCAATTTGAAATAAAAATCATAATTTTCTTTATTTTTTATTATTATAATTTTTTAAAACATGCATTATTCAAAATTAAAAATATAAGAAGTATAAAAACTGAAGTACTCCAAAAATGTTCTAATTTAAAATAAGGAATAAAAATCGCGATAAGACATAGTATAATTTTTTTTTTTTTTAGAAAAATGTTGTTTTTAATGTCTTGAAATTATGTAATATAAATATATTTAGAAACATTTATAGTTTTTTTAAGCAATGAATGACTTACATTAAACACATCACCTATTATAGTAAATAAATAAATTTGATATTTAAAAAAATTTTCAAGTTGTAGTAAGCAACTAAACTTTTAAAAATAGTTAAATTTTTTTTTAAAAATTACAATTGCATTAAAAAAAATTTCAAGTAAAATTATACATAAGCTGTTATAGTATAAAATTTAATTTTTAATATTAAATTTAATTTGTTTTTTAGAAATATTCAGCAAGTTTTTAACATTTTAAACAAGTTATAATAATATACTCTCTTTGATAAAGCAATAATAAAGCAATTCTTAAACATTAGAACTACTTCAGTTCCCATAAAGTATATTGTTATACTGTTATATTATTAAACTAAATTAATAGAGTATTAGGTCAACACTCAACTCTAAATTAATTCCAAATTTTATCACAACAGTATATTAAAAATACAGTATCAATCTTAAGGGATTTTAAATTATATTATACTAACTGTGCTTGGCATGATTCATCAATAATAGGTTCTTTATTTTTTTGATGGTCATCTTTGTTTGATAAAAGTTCAGACACAATCTTACTCTGATTTAAAATTTTGCTGGTAATAGCTGCATTGTTAAATATGGCTTAAAATATAAATAATAAATTAACATTAAATATTTAACATAAAATTAATAGTATGAGAAATGTATTTAAAAATAAAGTAGGTTTTAAGACATAATAGATATTCTACACCAGCGGTTCCCAAACTTTTTCAGCCTCAGAGCCTTTTTTTAAGGAGAAGTTTCTCGTGGAGCCACAAGAAATATTTAACGTTCATTTGCATTTGCCTGTGTTCTATGAAGCATAATTAACATGAACTGTGTACATACAGACAATAATGAACGGAGCCCTTAGGAAACCATTGCGGAGCCCCAAGGGCTCTGCGGAGCATAGTTTGGGAACCGCTGTTCTACACCATACATAATTTCAATGTTTTGCGTTTATAATACTTTGTTCGTTTACATGAAAATCACATAAGGCATAAATACATAATATTTTAATAACAAAATAACATTTAAAATTATTTTAATAAATCTTAAAAAAATATTAAACTCTTCTAGTAAACACCAAAAATTCTAATAACTTATTGTCATTTAATAACCATTAATTGTATTGTTAAAAACTTAACAAATAAAATCCAATGCAATGCCGTTCAACTAAAAAACAATTGTTTTTTTTTTAACTTACATGTTTTATTAAGTTGTCGTCTAATAGTTATTTTTGGTTTCAATATAATTTGTTTTTCTAAACTCACAATACTGTTGGTGGAACATTGATCTTCTAGCTACAAAAAATGTGATTTGATTTATATGAAATGCTATAAAGTAATATTCTCAAATTAAAAAAAATAATTACTTTAAACATGTCTGGATACAGACGAAAAAAATCCATACATGTTCCACATGAAAATTTTTGAAATGGAAAGGTGTAACCTTGTTCGTCTTCAAATATGGCTAACACTTTTTTGACAGTAATTGGTTCATGAGATCTTGCTATAATAGCAACAATGGCACTTTTATAATCATCCTTTTGTGATTTGGTATAATCTAGATATACAGTAATAATCCCAAAGTGTGATATTAATATAACTGCTTTTATAAAATAATTTATGAATTAAGATACACATAATATTGTTTATAGTAGAATAATAAAAATCATCATCTAACTTTTTTTTTTGTCATGAACATATTTAATAAGTTAAATAGTAACTACTGTTGGATTTTTAAAAACTGTAAATAATAAAATAATTATGTATTAATTGTTAGGCACTTACTTAACTTATCACTATTTGCTTCGCATTCTATTTTGGGCACAATCTATAAAATTATAAGAAATATATAACTATTAATAAAAGGTTTCTGTATAACTTATAAGTTTATAAATTACATTTATCAAAAAACATTGATATACTTCTTAGAATAAAATTATTACCTATATTATTTAAATTAATTTATTATCCAAAACAACATTTATCAAGAATAAGAATTTATAATTTAACTACAACTGTAAAAATCACATCTTAAATTATATTTGATAATTAATTTGCAAAAAAGAATTCAAACCGAAATATTTTAATTTAAATAAACATAACTTATTATACTGTTGAGACAATTACTTGTCAATAAACAGCATTAGTTCAAACATTCAATAGTGTTAAAGTATGGTAAATAACATTATTTGTGTTTGTAAAACTAGTAGTGGTTTTTATTTTTAAAAACTATCTTAACAAGTTACCACCAAATAATACAATTAAACTTAACATAATTTATTCTTTAAAAAACAAGTACAAAATTTATCTATTTACTATTAATTCATAAATTAAAAATATTACTTTAATATAAGTAACTATAGAACTTTTTAAAAAAATGATTGTGAAATAAATTATATTAAAAATCAGAAAGAATGTTAAGAGAACATAAAATTTTTTTTAAAAAGAATGAGTATTTCAAGTACGCGGCATGAAATGAAACTTCTTTCTCTCTATAAAGTCAAATCAAAACGTTTAGTCGATTGCTGCATAAGAAGTATTTGCATATAAATTTTGAGGGCATTGATAAAAACTGTTGGCTCAATCGATTTTGGCTTTGACGAAAAAGGGTATAAATTATAATCGTAGAAACAAAAAACCATGCTTGTACAACTAGCTAATGTAATGTCCAACTATAACACATTATTATCCGTTTTTTCTCTGTACACTCTGTTAAGAAGTTTAATTTCAAAAATTTAATTATTACTCATACATAAATGAACCTACTAAAAAATTTAAATTATAAATAACATTAAACATTTAAACTATCCAATAAAATTTAAGTACAAGCAATGATTAAATAATAATAATGTTTACTTTATGATGAAAAGATTTAGAAGTAAATGGTTGAACTTTTGACGACACCAATTTATTTTCAACATTTTTTTGAGTTGGAACTATGTCATTATTCTTTGACTCTGAATCATTTAAATCTAGAATATATAGATAACAATTAACATAAGATTAAAAATCATAATTATAATTGAACATAATTTAATTTATTTAAAGAATTCTTAAATTAAAATGTAATTGAATATTATATTTTTCCCTTATAATCAATTCTCTGCGTTATTTCTATTTTTAACTAATAAAAATGAAGGATCTATGTAATAATACTATCCCATTTCTATCGTGATTTATTGAATAACAAATTTTAACATAAGTTTCTGGTCACTCAATGGTAATAACAAATCTATTTTCTTGGATATTCACCTTAAGTATATGAGCAAATTTTTCAGTTCCCCAATTGGTGCACAATCTAAAATTGTAAATAAGCTAAGGGCATTGGCAGCTTTTAGCTGACAAGACATAAATAAAATACTAGAATCTGGATTAAGCTTCCAAGACCCATTAGTTAAGATTTATACATAAAGCCTGGTTTTGACGAAGAAACCTCATCATATACTTTTTACCTTAAACTCTAACACATCAACCATGTATATCACCATCTCTAATTCCAAAATTTTTAATATTTTGAATTTGATTAGTCATAAAGAATCAAGGTTTGGCATTATTATGTTCTAGCACTCTTTCTAGTATCACTATTTAATAATTTAATTTCAGTGATTAAAAGCGCCTCCACTTTTCACAAGACCACCGAGTTTCACATTTTGTCACTGATTGTTATTAATTAATATGTCAACAGTGATATATGAAAAGAACCATTCATAAATAGATAATAATGTTGATAGAGTTGTATTTTAAAAATTTTATGTGATGACAAAAAATTCCAAAATATCTATGATATACGTTTTTAAATTAATATAAAATAACTAAAATTGTAATCATTTTATTAAAATTAAAATTTAATAAAACTAAAAATGTTGAAAATTTTAAATGGCATAAATAACTCGAAAAATATTTTTTTTTACTTATTTTTATGACAACAATTATAATATTATAGTAAAAATCTAAAATATGACATAAAGTAATATAAATTTTGATAAATTTACCAACAATATCATACATTTTTCAGTACTTTATTAATTAAATACTATATTAAAATAAAAAGTATAGCTATACTAACATTTTATTACTAGTAGTCATTAAATTTATGATATATTAATTAATTTAACAAATATACTAAATAAATGGTAAACCTACCAGATATAATTAGATTTTCAAAACACGAATCATCTATTTCATCAAAGTTATCATTATTTTGTTCACAAAATGACAATTCCTCATTTTCATCAACAATATTATTCAGATAACTTCCAGATATTGGCTTTGAGTATTTTCTTGTACCAGATGTCTTAGATGGAAATATTTCAAATGAAGAATCTTAAATTAAGTATAAAATAAATTGTAAAAACATTTTAAATAATTATTTCCTGATTTTCAAAACATAATTTTTTTAAACTCTCTATTACATTAAAATGTATAAGTTTATTACAATGAATATGTCTATAATATGTAATCTAAGCATGTGCAACAGTAAATAAAAAACTGGTAGATAAAAACTAATTTAAGTGATGAAAGAAACTTATAAAAAAATGTATTTTAATTTTATACAATAGGCTTTTTACCACACACACCAAATACATGTGAAATATTTAAGAATGCATGAGTCCACTATAAGCTTTTTGAATAAGTATGAAAAATAGTATCCTTAACTTCGTGTACTAACTAAATTAATGAATAGGAAGCACTAAACCCAAGAAGATTTATGAATTAATGGAAAATAAAACAAAGTTAATACTGCATTATATATATATGAGTTTTTATTTAAATTATTGTAATTTTATAAATGATCAAAAATACAGACATGGTTATTAAAGTTATGGGATATTTAAAAAATATAACAGAATTTGATTAAAAATGATAGATATGGTTATGTGAATTATGTGATACTGATTGATTCAAAAATTAATTGATAAATAAAATAATTCATGAAAAATTAAAAACTATTAAATTTCTTTTAGAATAACAAATTTATGACTTATTTTACCAATTTTTCATAGACTTCCATCAAATATGGAAATGCTTTAAGTTCTACTAATTACACAAAATTAATTTTTTTAATTAGTTTATTGTTTTAATTGTGATGTCTAATAAGTAATAAGGTAACTTTAAAAAAAAAAAATAATAAAGAGTGGAGTTGTTTTAGGGTTAATAATAAATGAAAAGTTGTTGGGTAAATAATTTACAAAAGCAAATGTATGGATTGATCGATTAACTACAAATAATAATAATAATTATTATTATTATTTTAAATGGTAATAATTAATATCTAATCATTGAAGACAATGTTACAAAAAATATGTAAATAAGTCTGAAAAAATCCCAAATTAAAAGTTATACAAAACACAATCGCGATATTTCATTATGATTGTGATAAACTTATAAATAAATTATCATATATTCAGGGTTGGGCAGTATATTTGTTGCAAGAATCTAAAATAAGTATCTTAGATACAATTGTAACTTGTATCTAGTATCGCGATACTGATTTTTGAGTATCTTGCCCATCCCTGCATAAATTCTATATTATTTTTATAGTTACTTCATTCACACAAAAATTTTAACAATACATGCAAGCTATAACAAATTTATAATTTATAAACATTATAACAAATATACTTTTTAAATTATTACCTTTAAGGTGAACTCCTCCTCTATCGATATAGATAAAATACTTTAGCATGTTTATAGATTCTTCAATATTAATTGTACCCAATTGTTTATAGTCTGGATGGTTTATTAAAAAAAATTTTAACGTTTTAATACTTATTACCTATAAATTAGACAATATTTTATAAAAAAAAAATAATTATTATTAATGTTATAAACAAAACTTACTTCTGTAGTACTAAATAAATTTTCTATACAATTCTTGAGGTTTGGTGTTACAATACCATTGGATTTTGAGTTAAAAGATTTGATTCTGACATGATCATATCCACGAGCACTGTTATCATTCCTTGGAGTGCTTGATTCATATCTAGAGGAGCTAGATTCATATCTAGGAGTATTATATTCATATCTAGAACTGGTATACTCATTTCTATAATTATTGTGATTGTTAACACGGGATTTAAAATTGGCAGACTTCAGCAAGTGATTATTATTAGTTCTTGTAGTAAAAATATTTCTTTTAGGACGCTGCTTTTTAGTTTTTTGATTGACGACAAGTTCTCTAAGGTGTGACGTCTTTTTATCAACAATAAGTGTAATGAAAGAGTTAAAATTCGGGTTTGGCGGTATCTAAAATAAAATAATATCAACTATAAATAACATACATTTAATTTAATTCAATAATGAATAACCATATACATGAAACCATGTATTAGTAAGATTGAAAGCTATATTGAATGCATAATAATTTATAATAATCATTAGCACCATGTTTAATAATTTAGTGCCCTGAAATTTCTATATCTCTTTCCCATTTTCACAAGACAATTATTTATTTGTTTATTTATATTTATTAAAGCCCTTTTAGGCAAAGAGTGTAAATAAGTGATACTGTATAATATAGAAGATTAATAGTAATAATTATAGAATACATGGAATTATGACAAAAAATATTAAATTTTAATTTCATTATTTATACAATATATCAATTATACCATTACATTATACTCGTATATAAATACTAATACATATCAGTTATTTATCCAAAACCTACACACAAACAGCATAGTTTAAATTCATTCTCAAAATTATAGTCAAAAACAACACTGTTGCAATTTCATAACATACAACTTAAAAACTTGTTAAAACTGTAAGATTGTGAGTGGGATGGTATATAAAAACTAGTAGTCGATTGGGCATTAAAGGCAGGAACTTGCCAGCTTACTTTTTCAAGTATTTCAGGTGAGCTTAACTTATTACTTAATAATTTATAAATGAGTGACATACCACTGAATTTATGTATTGACGTAGGAGAATGTAAACTTAGTTCACGTCCTAAGCAATCAACTGAAACGTTTAATTTAAACTTAAGTGACAAATGTCTTAAGAAGTAATATTGGACATTATTCAAACGTTGAATTAGACTATTTTGGTAGAGGCTTCAAATTATGGATCTATATTCAATGCCTGAACAAACAAGTGAACAGTAAAAGGCCTTCAAACAAATAATATTGTTGAAATGACAGCACTGCTGTCTAACAAATTTTAGCATACGTATAGCTTTTGAATAGATATATGATATATGTTTGTTAAATGAGAGGTCATTAGAAAATATGTTGCCAAGATCTTTAATAAAATAAACTAACTTGATTGAGTGTCTATCTAAGGAATATTTGTAAATTAGAATTTTTATGTCTAGTAAACAATATTATGGAACATTTATCAATATTAATTTTTAATTTGTTTGTTATACACCAATTTTAAAATCATACAAGATCAGATTGTAATTTTTCATAGTCATTTACAGAGTTATTAACTTTAAATACATTTTCATATTATTGGCAAATAACGAAAATGTACAAAAGTTGAATAAAAGTTTAACATAATATATGAATAATAAAAAGAGCAAAGATGAGCAATTATAAATAGGGCTTGGAATTTAGTGCTTTTAAAAAGAACTAAATATGCATGCACTTATGTACTTATAATATAAATAAACGTTAAAAACATGCACTTATTTTTTTTTTAACTCACAATTCTTATAAATATTTTTATATTTTATAATATGTACTAAATATTTATTGATAAAAAAGGTAAATTGTATGTTAACTAAGGATTTGAAAAAAAAACACGAAACAATAATATCTAATCAAAACCTTCAAATAAATATACATTATAAAGTTTTTTTTTTTTATTATTGTCAAATTTTTAAATTATATTAAAAACATATCATTAATTATCAGATATGTTTTAAATAATGGTAAAACTGAAGACTACAGTACTCTCTCGTTAACACGAACTCGGTTAACACAAATAATTGGATAACACGAACCAATTTTTCAGTCCCGAAAAATACATATACTTGAAGATAGGTTTTTTTTTATTTTCACGGTTTACATGAATTTTTTGGTCAACATGAAACTTGAACAAAATTTCCAAACCATGTCATTTTTTTGATTAGCACGAACAGAAAAATTCCATAACCACTGAAATAATCAACAAGAATATTGATGAAGATTGAAATATATTATTAGCTGTTGTTCCAGTTTTTAATGAAAATGCTATTTCTTTTTCAAGTTTTATACTATTGGATGATAATGCCAAGGTTTGCAATGATAATGCTGAAGAAGATGAAAACCCTGAAATCTTAGCTCAAGAACTTGAACCTACTGAACCTCCAACAGATAAACCTTCTCGAGCTGATATGTTGGCAGCCTTTGATAAGCTCGCCAAATTTTCCCAAACCATTGCAGAGGTGAACTGCAAATTCGATGACCAATTGAACAGCATCAGAAAACAGTGCTTGGAAAACTATTAAGTAATACTCACACAAAAACCCATCACCAACTTATTTAAACCATCCACTATTCTATAACGTAAGTTTTAATTTAATCGATTTAGTCAGTTTATGAAACGAAATTATTTCAATTTTTTTTAGTTTAAATTCAATGTACAATAATAATTTTTATATATAACTTGTATGCATGATACAATTTAGTATGTAATTGATAATTTAAATAGATAAAAGTAATAAAATTAAATAAAATTAAAAAATGTAAAACATATATGAATGATTGGAAAGTGTGTTTCTGAATTTGTGTTTTTACAATTTAACAAAATTTTATGTTTATATTTCTTGTTGTAATTTTTGTTGTTACTACAGTATGAACTAATTTTATTAATATTAGTGTTGGATTAAATCATACAAAAAATAATGTAATAATTTTAACTATTATATTATTGTACATTTTGAGTACTATTGTACTTTAATAAGGTATTTGATTTAAACTACTCTGATAATTCAAATTCGTTTTTTTTAAGTATAAATCATTTAACGCAAACAAATTTGTATTAAACGTATCGGTTTACACAAATTTTTTTAACACGGACCGGTTATTTTGCGGTCCCGTCAAGTTCGTGTTAACGAGGGAGTACTGTATGTTCTTAAAACTAAATAATCACTAAATATGCAAAAATATATATCATAACTTTAAACATTATTTTGTATTGTCATGAAATTAATTTCAAGGTTATTTAGCAATAAATCTAAAAGCCCCCCCAAAAAATTACAAATGCAATAACTTCCAAACCTTTATTATAAGTTATTGATTCAAGAGAAATTATGTAAATTGATTTTTAGAAAAAACACAGGTAAATTTTAAAATTGCAATACTTATTTTTTAGTGGCTTAAAAGGGTATGGCGAATAAATGAAATAGTTCAGTAAGCAAGTCTAATATAAAAATTAGATTAGCTGTATGAATGAATGGTTTACTTATAATCTTTGCACTAAAGCATGAGCAATCACAAATCAATAAATATAATGGCTACTATTTTAAAACACTTTAAAGTTTAAAAACCATATATTGTACATAGTTTAAAATTTTAACTATAAACTGGATAATTCTTTTATCAAATAACACTCAATATTTTGAAATCTAATAATTTTGAAAATATTTTTATACATAATTATTTTTAATCATAATAAAACAACACTTTTCAAGTTTTTAATTTTTTGAATGAAAGTATACATTTTTTAATTCATATTTTGAAGCAGAATCTTTTTCTAATAAATATTTTGGTAAATACACAGTTTTTGAGTTTTAAGTATACTGAAAATTATGCAAGAAGAAATATTTTCAAAAATGTTAAAATTTATATAATGAGTATGATTTGATGAAAGAATCACCCTGTATTACCAAATACTGCCAAAATATAATAATACCTAAAATATTGCCAAATAAAACTGTAAGACATAGCAGTATCAATAATGTGTTAGTTTTAACATTAAAGATGATTAACTTCCTAATAAACTTTTAAAGCTAAAAACACTAAATTTTTTTTTGTATATCTGTTATTTTTATATTTTAATTTCAAGCAAGATACAAGTACATAAAATAACACAATTTAAAAATTTTCATATCTAGTTTTAAAATTTAAATTTAAAAAATTAAACAGACAATGATACCTCGAAGTTTAAAAATAATTGGTAGTTGACTCTAATGTTAAAACTTATAGCACAAAGTTTGAACTGCTAATACAAACAGTTTTTACTGAAAAATTGTTTTATTAAAAAATTAACATAAAAACCACTTGGATTATTAAATATCAAACTTGTAATTAATTAAAATTAAAATCTAATCAGTTCATATTTTTACCAGATAATAATTAGGTCTAAATACAACTACTTTGTGTAATGTCAACAATTCCCTTAAAAAAATAAACAAGTAAAATAACTATTACTTTTTTTTATGCAAAACTTAAAATGCTGTCCTGTACTTATTGAAAGCAATTCCCTAAAATAGACTTTGATGATCATCTTAAAAATATATTGCAAATTTTTAATAGAAAATGTAATTTATTTAATTCATCAATCATGTTAAAATACTCAGCACTAGTTAAGTTTACTGAAGAAAAGTTTTCAACTTACTTTTAAAACATCAGTCATATTTTCTAGTAACTCGTAAATAGTATTGAACCCTAGATGTTTAAATGGTAAATTACAACCTTCATAATTATTGTATTCATTTAATATTTGTGAGATTGTCATTCTATTTGGAGAGCTAGTTAAAATACTTCGTATAACCATCTTTAAATAATTTAAATCTGGTTGTTCCATGGTGAATAAATGAAATACCTATAAAAATATACATATATTATTATTACCATAATGTTTCTAATTTTGGTATTGCATAAAAAGAATATTTCATATTTTTAAATTTCATAAATTTATAACAGTTAATAAAAGCAAAATAGATAAAATAATTTTTAACTAATCATACTTTGTGAATTTAAAATTAAAAAAATATATAATTATCAAGTAAGTTGTAAATAAACTTTGATTGATACATTTAACAGTGCTAATAAAACATTAGTTTAATAATATTTAAAGTATTCAAGTTATAGTTGGGTATTTAAAATATTTAGTAGCGTTACTTTAATGTTTAGGAGTAACAGCTATCAAATTTAGATATCAATCATTACCAGATAGCTTCAATATATACTAGGAACTTAAGACGTGTTCTTACAAAATTTATTTTTTATATCAATCAAATATTTTATTCCTTTTTTTAAGTTTAATATTATTAAATATTAATAACTTTTAAAGATCAGTTATATGTCAGTAGTGAACATTTTGAAATTTTAATAAAAATGCTAGAAAGAATTCCTTAATTGTTTAAAAATTTAAGTTTATATAAGTTATTAATAATTTTTTTCTTAAAATATTTCATAATGCTATTAATATTATATTAAATCTTTTTAGTATGATTTACAAATAATTTTTATTATTGATAAAGATGAATTCTTAAGAGTTTATTCACTGTAATACATTATTATTAACTTTTATTTAAAAATTTTGAAAACAAAATACGACAAATTTCAGATAAAAATAAGTGAAGAGACCAATGTGTTGCACAATATAGTAGCAGAGTGATAACAAAAAGTATCTAAGTAAAGTGCGGATTTGTATGCATTTGCATATTTATTCTGATTGATCATATGATATGTTAAGTGAGCACAAAATTTATTTCTGACATGATTTAAAAAATGAAACTCTTTTAGTGCATATTTTGACATTTTTCTATTTTAAAGACTTATTTTACGATTTTTATTGCATATTTCATCTTTTGTGCATATTTTTAAGTTTTTTAAGACATTTTTCAAATATATACTATTGCAGTTTATTATAATATAAAAAAATAAATATTTTATTTGAATAGTTTCGATTAATATCAAAATAACTTAATAAGTATAAACAGTTTTTCCAAATATGACCTTAGATCAATAATCGGCGAAATAAAATATTTAGATTAATCTTATCAAAATAAGAAAATATTAATTATGTCAGTGATTGAACACAAACATTAAATTACTATTGTTAAAAAAAATAATTTTTTTATGCATATTTTTATTTTTTAGCGCATATTTGGTTGGTTTTTAATGCATATAAATTCACGCTCTAAATATAAAATGTTTAATAGTAACAAATCTAAATAAAAATAATGTTGATAGATTAAATGTAATCATAAATAAATATTAAAAATATCAGTTATTAAAAGATGTCAATGATGTTAGTGTGATACTAATTGTTGCACTGAACTTATTCGGATCATCAAAATAAGCATTATGTAGAAATTGGTAATCGTACTAACCCCAATGTACCCAATATAGTAAATAAAAATAAATAATCTTTAGTTAATTATAAAAAATATAAAAAAAGTCAAAGTATTAATTTATATTAATTGATTTTAAATAATAGACGTAATAATAAAAGAATAATTATAAAATTTTAAGATATTTTTTTTAATTGTACAAACCTCAAAACTGAATAATGTAGAATAAATCAATGAACTAACAAATAATGTAGGATCTATTTGAACATTCCAACACAGTATCTAAAAAATATTAAAACCATTAGACGTGATATTAGTGATTCTATTTTATTTTTATTGTAATAATTATTATAGTCCAGAACATTTGACAAAGTGCTAAATTCTGTTAAATACAGCGACGCACATAGAGCGTCGTAGATTTACATGATTCGCCAACACACGAACGACAATACTTACATAGTTACAAGTTCATATTTACAGGCTGTTAGCCACAAAGCACGTAATATGATCTTCGCGGGGATAACTGACAAGAGTGTTGAAATATTAAAATTTCTCACAGCTGTTAAACGTTTGAAATCGGTTCAACAATTGGCAAATATTTCACTATTTAGCAACGTGTCGTATGATAGTGACAAACTGACAAATTACTAGAATGAATACCGATAAAATGATAATCAAACGCAATAAGGCTTGGAACGTCAAACCACGTTATGCGTGTCCATGTGAAGATGTATGTAATATGGACTGGTCACAGAGTCACTGGAATGAGATGCAATCATATGAACGTGACTATATATGATGTTATTACACTGCACTGGAAATCGCTGTTATCAGTGTTTATTTTCCCGCGGTTCTATTATCACGCGTTTGCGACAACTGTTCTGGCTGTAATCAATACACAAACATGGACATTAATCACGGCTAGAGATTTGATTAATAAATAATAATAATTAATATTCTTATTAATTATTATTTGAAATCACGACATAAAAAGTAATAAATACAATAATAATCGGTATGAAATTGTTTTAACAGTGAATACCGTGATTAGTGACTACGTGTGGATTGCGGTTATCTTAGGTATGTCATATAATATCCGTAATAACCATTGATAACCATTGACATATTATTATATTTAATATGGATTATGGATGCGGCATTGTCGGAAGTTGAGACGTCGACAATCGGAATTCCTGCCTTCACAAAACACGAGTTTTTTGGCCGAAAAAAAAAAGAAAAAAGTGAAACTAACTTAACCTATCGCTTTTGAGCGATAAAAAAACCAACATTTAAATAAGAGTGAAAAGAGATGCAATACAATTATAGTTAAGAAAGATACCAATTATATTAGTTGACAGTTTTTTATACAATGCCACATCTTTTAGTTTAACTAGCCCGTGATAATCGTGAGATAGCATTTGTTAATTTGCTACCTATCTACTTATTGTCTCATTAATTTCGATAGGTAAGTAGAAGTAGATTAATCATGAATTTATATTTTACGGAACTCGGATGCTTGGGAAATCGGTGTTCGTTAACGTGTTAACCAAGAATTTTTCATCAATAGCTTTAGATGCTATCACGATTTAAGACAATGTGGGCGATATAGATAATAAGGAAATCGGTGAAAAGTCATATACCTAAATATATGTATTAATTTTACATAATACATCTGTGTGAAAAGTTCTTGGAGTCGGGATATGATCTGTATAACCTGGTTAAGGTTATTTCCTTTAAATATAACAATTATATATATATAAACACCTACAAAGTACAAATTAATTTTCTATAACTTAACTCTAAGGTTACTATTTGAGACTAACCACTAACTAGTAAAGAGTAAAGATGGGTCATAAAAGCATGCGCGTCGTAATTTTGGTACTTTTGTAGTTTCAAGCAAACTTTCATAAAAAATTATCAATAAAAAAATTCGCAATTTAAAAATAAATCAAATGTGCTTATCTATGTTTAAATAACATCAATTCTTTTTTATTGTTTATTGTGTAATTTAATTTAATAATATTTTAAGATGGAACGAATTCCAACCAATATAAATTAATTAAATATTAAAATTTAAAAATGTTATGAATATAACAGGTATAAATTTTAAGATTCATCAGTCATTTATAAAAATATCATAAAAAGGTTAGGATATACTGTTATGTTTAATATTATTAGTTTCGAGTGTTTCGACAATACCTCATCATTGAGTTGGTATAAATGTAGGTAATAGATGTGTTAAATATTAAATTTAAATTTAAAGATACATAAATATAAGGCACTTTTTCTATCATAAAAAGTCCATTTTCACAATAATAAACACCCACATCATTGTTAATCGTTTCCGGTAGTATGTATCTGTATCAGTTATACACTTCCACAGTTCTATGGTTGTCGGTTGAACACATTTGATTACAATAATTACGTAGGTACTTAGGTATACCAATTAATAGGTCTAATGAAAAATTAATAAATTAAATATATATGTAAATGATTTTCAGTGCTACATAATTCTTGTCAAATTATTTTATTCGGTCTCGTAAATAAGTCATTTTCACATTTTCTTATGATTCATTACTATTCGTTTACTAACGATAATTTCCGAAATGATATTATGATCGTGTTCATTAAGTATGCTAAGAACTTTCGACATATTATTGTCAACATATTATATGCTTGATTTACAATTTTTTGTTAGTACATCGATAACGAATACTGCCTACGTTTTTAAGTACCTATATGCCTATATCTATGCTCATCTACTAATATAAATAGCTTACCTTTTTCAATCTTAAACTTATTTTGAATAAATAAATCCAATTTTTAATACTTGTTAATTTCACAATGGCACACTAAATTAATATTTTGTACTAAAATGTCATCTCATGTCAGAACAATCAACGGTTAAATGCAACTCAAATGTAAAATCCGACCACGACAGTATGGCTTGACATATATGCCTATTAGCTACTGATATCTATAAATAAGATAATTTAACTTTATTACTTTAATGCTGAATAATAAATACTTAAACACCAGTGGCGCAAATAGGGGAGGCTATGGGGACTTAGTTCCCCAAAATTTGTAAAGTCCCCTCAAAAAACCTAACCATCATTTTATTCTGTATCAGTCACAAAAGATGTGGGACTTCAGTCCCCTCAAAAAAATTAAGCTAGTTGCGCCTGCACTGTTAAACACCCAATCAGTGGCGTAGAGTTGTATACATTTAAGTGAAGCAAAATTAAAATATTTACACACCCACCCGCCCACCATTAAGGATTTTAACATATTATACTATGTTAATATTATATTATCTTAACATATATAATATGAAGCGATCGCTTCAGTTCATGTATCTATATTGGTTCGGCGCCATTGCACCCATTATTATTTAACTTATGCCTTATAGGATGTTGATCTTGAAAATTGTAAAAATATTTATTTTATATTTATTAGGAAAATACGTACACGAAAAAAAAAATGACAAATGTTTATAATTCCATGTATTAATACAGTCGAACTTGGTGAACTCTAACTTTTAACTTTGACTTCGAGTTAAGCAAGTCTGACTGTATTTTAAAATAGTGTATTGGGTAATGTCTGTATTAAAGGTTATAACGCAATTGTGGTGTGTATTTTGTATATAAAAAGGTAAAGTAGGGATAAAAGTGTTACACTCGTCATTAAGTAACCGAATAAGTACTATAAATAGTAATATATGAGTTAAATTTGATTTTAATAATAAATCATTGCAAACGATAAAAACCGATTTGAGCGAAAACTGTCTTTTTGGTAATCAAAGTTATCAAACAATTAAAATTTTTACATAAATTTATATATTTTTTTAGTTTTTTCGAAAATTCTAAAAGGTGTTAATAATTTTAAATTTTGTCTTCTTAAAAACAGCGTTTAAATTCAAATTCCTACAAAAAATCTATTCGAGTTTATTATAAGAGTATTTTTTCAATCAGAATTTGAGTATACCAAATTATTTACTTAGGTATTTTCCGTGTCTTATTAATTAACGTCGTTTTTATTTTATTAAGTTACTAGAACAATAGTTTTCAGTTTATATTTTTTAGAGTATTAGTATTTTAAAGTTTTTATGAGTGCATGCATATTTTGTGCTTTGTTGGATTATTTATCCTCTAATCTAATTATAATGGTTTAATCGTTTAATGACTCCGTGTTATTACATGGTACTTATACGTACAGTTATCGTAACTCAGAAATAAATTAAGTTTTTCCATGGTCGTATTCATATAATAGAGTATTGTACACTGAAGTAAGATAATATTATAGAATAAACCGTAAATTACGTACTTGAAGGTTTATACCATGTATATCAGTATATATATACAATATTACCTATAGGTACATTTTTAATTTATACTTTTAGATCCTGAATGGAGTGATTAATTTATTGGCTCAATAATGGTACTTTTTTCTGGTATACGTCACTGTCATTACCTTTTAAATCTATATTGATTAACATTACTGCAGTTAACTTAAAGGATGATTTCTGGAAGAAAAAGGACTTAATTGGTACTTATTTATTTATTTACTTATTTTTTTTTTTTTTTTTGGGGGGGGGAGGTAGATTAGAAAATTATCAGTATTTTTAAAATTATTGAGAAAAGTTAGAAAAACAAAATACGGAGAAATAGAAACATTTTTTCAACACTCGTTTTCGACTAAATCAATTTTATGAAAATTCAAAAATGAATTATTGTTAATACTTGAAATTTTCATTAAATTTGTATATTAGTATTTAAAAGATATTTAGATCATCTCTTTACATGCAGTATTATTACTTATTATCTTACATTATATTATGTATTATTTATTTGTATATTTATAGGTATTTCTTTTGTTATGCGATCCGATTTTCTCAGTAAATAGCTTCTATAAATTAGTTGAATTTTTAATAATTATTAATTTAACTACTATTGTTAAGTAGGTACCTACCATTAAACCTAGTCACTCAGATACAGAATTATCTACATATACACAACAATTGTAATTAAATATTTATTTTAATGTTAAATGAAGAGATTAAGTTAAATTATTTTAAAAATAATTATCAATCCATTATGAGGTTATGAATGTTATCTAAAAATGAATTACTTCATAATTAAATAATTCTTATTAGTTTGAGTTAGCTACTCATAAAGTCTTAACTATTATTTTTTCGTCAAAGTTTTGGCATAATTTAATGAGTACTTTCTCCCATTTTACGTTTATCACAGCATTCTCTAGAGAAAAATGTTTCTTTGTGAACCACAATTTGACTTAATTTTAAGAAGACTATTATTTATGTCTTATAAACCTAACACTTTTTTAACCAATGATTATGTTTTTCATTGCTCATAAGTCTCAATTATAAATTATGTGTATGACATTCTCTATGAAATTATTTAAGGTTAATATAATGATACTATAAATATTATAGTTTTTTTTACTATAAATTGATTGCCAAAAGAAAATGAAGTTTAAATTTTAAAAGCAGACGACTTGTAAAAACAAGGTTTTTGTATTCTTCATTCTTTGGCCACTTCGGCATCAGATAGTTTAATATTGTTTTCAGCAGTTATAATATATATTTACTTGTTATTTTTAAATTTTAGAGTATTGTTCACCAATCATCGAATTCAAAATAATAATTCTGAATCAAGTTTGGTTTGCTACATAGGTAGTAGATACTAACCGTAGTCTATCATATCAAATTAGTCTATATAATGTTTTATAAATAATTAATATTGAAATTTATTAAATCCAAGATAT